CAGATAGAATGTAAAAGAGTGGAGAAACAATGGGGAAATGACATGAAAAGTGAAGTGAAGTGAAGTGAATGATGAGTAATATCTTGCTAGTAAATCTCGGCATGAAAGCAATAAATTCGTTGAAAAGGCACTCGGTCATTGTCGCCACTAAAGTGAAAGATATGTTTGTGGAGGATTTAGTAAGATTGGATGGTTTAGTTTGGATAGAAGGATGAAGATGAAGGATAATATATATATATATATATAATATGTGGTTAGATTGAAATCGAAATCACAATTGGGAATTCATTTAGTTTTAGTAGCATTGCAATTTGATAATATATTATTTCTGAACTGTTTTGCAATGATGAAATAAGAGGAAGAAATAGAAATATTTCATAAAAATTTAAATTAAATATAAATTAGAACATAGATTGTAATGTTTAATCTTGATAATTATGACTCATTGAGTGAGGAATCAAAAGAATTGAATTGAAATTAATAGCTGATTATGATTTAAACAAATTTGTACTATTTTTGAATAAATTTGTAGCTTTTGATGATTGAATGGAGTGGATAGAAATTTCAAATTTTTTATCATTCTTTTAATTATGAAATCTAATTTTATGTGTTTTTTTCTTTTCAATTTTTAAGTTTAATGATTTATGTATGACATTTTTCATTGTTACTAGTATTGCAATTACCATTATTATTATTATTATTGTTGTCATTATTACTATCATAATTGCTGAGTAGTTAAATTTGCCTTTTTTTGCTTTTTTTTGATTAAATAAATGTGATAAAATATTTTTTTTTTTGCCCATTACAGCAACTGAAATATATAAAATTAATGAAATATTAGCAAAAGCAGTTCAATCATAGCTATTAAAAATTTGTTTCAGGTATTGCTTCATATTGCTTTTCGGAAATCATACATATACATTATCACCGATAAATATAAAAATATGCAAACGTTCCTCCAATTTTTCTATAATTTGTTAGTTTTCCTGTAAATTTTTCTCCTTCGTTTTAATTAATAACTTATCCTTTCATTTTTTTTTTTTATCATTTTAGTTATGGTACGATAATGGGAGAAAAATTTAATAATTAAATGTTAACATGTAATCTGATTTAGATCTGCTAATTGAAATGTAATTTTTGCAGGGAAAACTTTTGATAATGATGAGAAAAGAAGTGATATGACAGGATATCAGAACTACCATCACCGCCACGGCCAACCAACCAATCCCTCTCACTAATTTCAATTCCCAAATGCATCGTTGTCGTTCGCTTCCTTCTATAACATTACCAATCCACATTTTAATAAACTAAATCGTTCATTCCATCCACTCTTTCTCCTCTTTTACTCTCCAATCTTTCAAAACTCTCTCATCGACACAAATAGTTTTTGGCGGTGATGCAAACCGATAAATTTTTATGTGAATTTTTGTACAAAATCAAGTAAACGAAGGAAAAAAAATTAAAAAAAAAAATTTCGAAAAAGTAAAAAAATTCAATTCACACACATACACACACTATAACTTACAGTAATCATTATCGTTGTTGATTGTGTAATGTGGCGTACTTTTCATTCATTCATTCTTTTTGTAAATTTTACGACTAAATTTAATTTATCTCTTTTAATTATTTGCTAATATTGATTAATCAGTGTTATATGATTTTTTGCTAAAATTATAAACAAATTTCATCGCATAAAATATTAAGTAAGTTAAAAATATCATCAATTTTTATCAATGAAATATTATGAAAAAGAAAAGTACTAAGCATGAAGTATCATTATAATTGCTTTATTACATACAATTAATTCATCGCTCAATTTTAATTTGATTACAGAATCTTTAATTTTTCCTTCTTTGATGCAAATACTTTCCTCCTAACATTCTTTTTAAAATCATAAACGATTAGTACATTCGTTTTATGTGTGATTTTGCGCATCCTTCAGATGAAAAGTCGAAAAGTCGGATAGATCCTTCAGATGAAAAATAAAAAGTCGGATAGAAAAGTTTTTTTAAATAATTATATAATACTTGAAAACTATTTTGATATATAAGAAACTTGAGATTTAATATTCTGTTTCTAATTAAGGTCCTAAAACAGTAATTAATAAAATATTTTACAGAAGCTATCAGAATATCGCACATCAGTTAGGTAATGGTGATACACTGTTCATCTGAAAAAGAACTCAAAACAACCTACCAAGCTTTGATTAATTTTTTTAATTACCTCCAATTTTTTATCTTATTTTATGAAGTTTGTCAAGTGTAAAATAAAACTAATTTGGCGTATTTTTAATAAGTATTAAATAAGCAATAATTTTCTTCAATCTTTCAAATGCTTGTGACTATTATTTTGAAATTTTTATAAATTTTTTCTTCTAATTAAAGATTTTTAATTAATTTTTTTATCTGAAAAAACTATTAATTTACATTAATAAGTCATTGATTATTAACATGTTACTCATTTTCTTTTATTTTTTCTTAAAATAAAATTTGCAGTTAAATATATCTTCCTTCCACCAACATTATTTGCTTTTCTCCTGACTTAGAGAATTTTTCAAAAAAAAAAGTATGGAAAAGAAAATATTTCCATTTTACCGTTAGTTTTGTCAATATTATACAAATAATCTTCGCTATTCCTAAAATCTTAAACTACAGAACATCATTTAAGCCTATTTGATGCATGAAAGAGCGATTTGAAAGCTTCGAGAAAAAAAATGTCATAGTGATTAGCATAATGATCACCCATTCCATCTTCCATCCTTCCACTCTTTTCGTTTCTCATTTCGAGAACATTGTAAATCTATGTTTAAGCCTGTTAAAGCTTCTCTCCTCTTCTCTTCAAACCTTTTTCATAATGCCTAATATTTAAGGCACGAGAGATTTTTGCATTAGATATTAGCGTAAAAGGCTTAACGGCAACAAAGCAGTGCAAAAAAATTACCGTACTTTTCTGGATATTTTTTTATTCGTCCTCTTTCTTCCACATCATTGACGATTGATTCATTGATGCTTACGAAAAGCGAAATATTTTAATCCAATTGCTTAAATTTGTTTTTTTTTCCGCTTTTTCCTTTCTTTTTCTTCCTTATTTCGCCTGCTCTCTGTTCCTTCTTCAAAAAAACTCAAAAGCAATCATCGTTAAAAATGGCTGAATGCACAAATCCAAAAATTTTTACATAAACACTAATCATCTTTGATAGAAAATCGCAATCAAATATTATTTACTCCAACATAACTCATCATTTAGCAAAATTATTTTAATGTGATGTAAAAGAGAGAAATTTGGTCAAGAAGTGAAATTAAATCTTTTAAAATGTGGAACGAAGAAAAAAAGTTAGGAAGAAAAAAAGCAAAAAGAAACTAAAATTATTTTGTACAAGCTGTTAATGCCTCAAACATAAAATATGAGATTTTAATTTAGTTAAAATTTAGAAAAATACAGATTACTGCAAATATATTAGAAAATAATTTCAATTATTGTAAATTCACAAAATAGAATGAATTTAGGTAATTGCAAGTACATTATAAAAAGAATTTCGATTATTACAAGTGCATTGTTATAAGAGTTCAGGTCATTGTTTCTGACTTTATGTGAACTTTCGACTGCTACAGATAATGCTTCAGGGAATTTAGACATCCAATATGCTAGTTAGTATATGTCATGAGAATTCAAGACTGATGTGAGCATGCTAGAATCTATTTATTATTTTACCACTGCTGTTCTGCACAGCTAATAACACAAAACAATTTCATCAATTATAATTAACTAAGAAATTGTCACCAATATATAATTAATACATTCTAAGAATTCTTTTTTTGTTAAAACAATTAATTATATAATTCACTTAATATATTTGCTCATTTTTATAATTTATGAAAGGGAAAGTGAAAATCGTATTACATAAAATTATCAATTGTGTTCATAATATAAATTCAAAATTTATAATTTATTGCTCAAAATAAGATATTATTAATAAAAAATTATAGATGAGTCAGTTTTGCTATTATAAAAATGACAGAAGATTAGAGGTTTGATTCATAAATCTTCATGCATATTGAATGATTAGTAAATAAATCGAAATTTCAATTAAATAATTGCTAATTCAACTAATATCCTATCAATAATAACGAGAATTCACAAATAATACCAATTATTATCTATCATAAAGAGAAAAAATTTTCATTATCTATCATAAAAAGAAAAAAACAATTTAATATAATACCTGGTATATCAGCATTGATGTTCAATATTTTGTTTGTTTATTTGTTTGTTATTGTTTATTTGTTATTGTTATTGCTGTTATTGCTATCGTTATTGTTGTGTTGTTGTTGTTGTTCCTTAAATGATGATCATGTTGTCATCCATCAACAATATTTTCTAATGCTCTTATCTTTTCCATCCCTTTTTTTTTTAAAGCGTCAACACATTTTGTTGCCTCATTGGAGCAACGGTTCCCATCATATCCGCCCCTTTTTGACAGCTCACCCAATGAACGATTTGTTGTGGTGGTTTGGAGTTTTGTTCATCTCAAATGCATCCCGGCTACTCCTTCCTCTCCTTCCTTCTCCTTTGAAAATTAGAATGTCAATAGGAAGTTGACGAATTATACGGTGTGTATATCATCAAACAATGTTAGATGATAGCTAATATTCCAATGGGATAAATCTTTCATTTCTTCTTGCATTATTGAAAATTGTCACGAGTGACGGCGGCTGTTTGGAAGAGTAAAATCTGTCAAATCAAACATTCTTACAATTTCGATTCCAAATACATTTCATTAGCATTTTGCAAGGATTTCTAGCAAATAGTAAACTGTTACGAGATATTATTTATTTGCTATTTGAACGAATTCTGTTCTGCTCTCATTCTTATCCTATACTCCTTTTTTTTTTCACTGATATATTGAAAAGTTGATAAAAAAGAACAAACTGTAAAAGAAAGAAACATCGGAAAAGCATTGCAAAGAATTAAAACGGATCACCTGAATATTGTACTTTATTATGGCTAGAACAGGTGAAAAGCGTCCTATAGATACGTTACATTCAACTATTCCAACATCAGGACACTTTCTGGATATTCCATTAGATTTGGCAGCACCAAAACGATTCAAATTTATGATTGATCATTTGTTGGATATAAGTGATGCGGATGAGAAGGCAGAACGAACGACGATTGCTGTGAGAACAAGTAGAAACTACAGTGATGACAGTAAGGATCGTGAGGAACCAGAAGAATGTGAGAGTAGCATGGAACAGCTACCGAAATCCTCACCGCCACCCGGGAATTCTCATATCCTCCGCCATGTTACTTGTCGATTAGAGGGACGTGAATTATGGAATAAATTTTATGAACTTAGCACCGAAATGATTATTACCAAAAGCGGACGGTGAGTTTGCTTTTTTAGCATTAAAATATTTTTGGCAACAATTGTGATATTACGATAAAATATCTCATTTGTTGCATTTGCAAAATATCAAGTAAGAAAAGTAAAATTAAAATCACTAAATAATTTAAAATGAATCAGTTTGAAATAAATGTCAAAAAATAGTTAAAAAGGAATTTTTGATAAATATATTAATGGGAAAATTTAAATAGTAAAATTTTCAACTTATTTTTATTCAAATCTTAATTTTACAAGCCATTTCAAAATTTTTTAATGTAATAAATTATTGTGTCATCTACTCTTGATTATTCTTCCATTTTTTAATTATTGCTGATTTTTAATAGTTTGTCAATATTTTTTTAATTCACGATTAAGTATTAATTTCTGAATTCTTCCATTAACAATGATTTCTAATCGTTTCTGATAACTTTACAATTTACGTTTCATCAAATTCATTTTTTAAAATCATTCCACTCTTTTTTAACTCAGTTCATTAAAATGAAAATAATTTTGACAGAATCAAGAAAAGAACAAATGAATCGCCTCACGCATTTGAATTGTTTTAGGCATATTATTTTATGTGAAAAGAAATTAATTATTATAAGTGTTTAAATAATAAATAATTAATAATTGAGTAATCACTTTTCATTTTTTTAATTCCATTATTATAATGCATGCAAAATATCAGCGATTGTTTGACATTATTCAAAAGGGAAGCATTTGTCGCTTTCTCGAGGGATTACTCATATTGCAGTGAAATGGATATGTCTTCATTTAAAAGAATTAACAACACTTTAGTAATTTCATTTGAATTGGTATACTTAATAGGTGACAATTTGTGATATTTGATGATGAAGGAGGAATGTTAGGGTGATAATAATTGGAAGGAAAAATGAAAGGATAGAAGAAATGAATGATAGCAATCGACGACAAATGTTTCATATCAGCTATTTTAATAGGGTGGCAACAAACAATCTCTCTAATACAATCATTCATTCCTTAACTAATTCACTTAAAAGCATAGCATATATTTAAAAAAGTGCGCAATTTGCAAAATTGCTTTTATATTATCGCATTTTATCTCGTTGTGATTTTGGTGCATCCTTAATTAAAGTTTAATGTAAGCAACAGACTTTTAAAGTTGAAAAAATAATGAGACAAAGTTTAAAATATAGTAAACAAATAAAAAATGTATCGATATAATTTTAGTCACTATAATTGTAATAAATATGCAAGAATGTATTGTAATTAATTTGACTAATGAGAAATTATCGTTGATTTTTTTTGATTGATTGAATTTGTAAACACATAAATACTGAATTTTCTTTTAGGCTACTGTGCATATTTTATTGTTAAAATCATAAATGAAATTTTCATCATTTTCAAATTAAGGATTTTTTTATTAAATTTTAAAAGAAATAAAAATTGAAAACTCTGTGGTACAATTACTTTCTTCTTTTTGTTTATGCTATTTCATGATGATAACGATGATGTTAAAGTATTTCAATCATTAAAGACAGTAAACAACGAGATATCCACAATCTGGTGCAGCAATCTTGTTATAATTGATTTTTTTCCTTCGAATTCATTCTTTTCTTTTTGTTTTAATTTCAATTCGAAAATAAAAAATAATCAAAACGTATAGAGTATTTTATAAACTGCTTTAATACATTACTTTTGTATTCTGGAATTTTTATTTTTATATTTTAGGACATAGACTATATTAAATCCAGTATCTAGAAATTTTCTATTGTTACGGCAAATGTAGATACAATAAACTTATATTTGAAGATTGATCTTTACTGTTACAGTTTATAAATGTATTCCGAACTTAATAGTCTCTGCGTTCAGTTTATTACAAATTCATTTAAATTCTTTTAAATTTATCATTGATTACAATTTATTGTAACCAAATCTAAGCCTATGTGAAAATTCATTCCAAATTTATGGGAATTTCTAATTGTTCTGCTATAAATTTTTACTAGTAGCATTGTACGCTGTCAGGTTTTGAAAATGGGATTACTAATATTAATTTACATTCATAAAGGCTGTAAAAAAAACATGGAAATCTGACCTGTTTGTATATAAATTTGCTGTATTACAGTAGTCTAAAAAAAGATATAACAATGTTCAATACATTTTGCTTAATCAGTATTTCCTATATTGAATAAAAATATTCAGTAAATTAGTATTGATATAATAATCATGAATTCAATTCGTTCTATTCCTGCTCAGTCTAAAATTTAGCACAGTACAGTTTGTATATATCCATTTTAATACAAATAAAATTTTTATTTTGTATTTAATTCAATTCATTTTAATTAGCTTGCAAATTTTTGTAATTACTTTGCAAAAAAAACCACAAATCAATTTTATTATTTTGTTTCTGTTCTTTTCCTTTTCCTTCTGCTTATTTACTCCTTTATTCTCTCAGTAATTTTATATTTTAACATATTTCAAATTTTTCAAATGAAATGATGTTCTTCCTAAACGATATTGTTAGTGCAAAAACTTTTTATACCAAAATAGTTTAACACGTCATCCAACAACAGTAACAATACATCATTTTGCATTAATAATGCTCAAATTTGAAATTTCTCCTTTTTCTGCATGACTATAGCAAAGTTTAACTTAAGTTTGCATAGTACACCATCAATTTTATATATGTCATTTAAAATACATATTTATTGAGTGAATTTAATGATATCATAAAAAATTACTTGAAATTGTGAAAAAAAAGCTAGATGTAAAATTGCTGGAGAAGTCAATATGTAATTAACATTAAATGAATAAATTAGTAATTTGGTGAATCATTAAATGAATTGAAAATAATTTGTTTTGCATATTATCATTACTCCTACCATCAGGCTATTTTTATGTGATGAACAGCAGTGTGACAAAAAATTAAAAACTTTTTTGCAGAGGCAAAATTATAAATTTTGATTATTTCTTATAATAACTTCATTAATTATGGCTAAATTTAATTTACATGTAAGAATAACAGTTGATGACATAAAGCAACATAAACAATCGCTTTATCCTCCATATCGTACAGTAATCCATATGTATGTATTACGGTAGCAATTCTTTACCATCTTTATTAAAAATGTAAAAATAATCTCCATTTATATATAATTAAAAACCTGTCAGAAAAAAATTTCAATTAAATTATATTGAATCATCGGTTTATATTTAAATATTAATTTTTTACAGTTTTAATCATTATTTAAATAATACTAATAAATGAAGAGAAAATTGTGTTTCCGCTTTTTTTTATATGTCCTCGTTTTTAGCTGCTCTTTATTATTCATAATCTTAATCATTCATCAATGATAACAATTAGTGGCCACATTTGATCATAATCTGCAAACACACACACAACCTAACACTTAAACAGACATTATTTGCTGTCATTAATATATTAATAATGCTGCCAATCTTCGACATAAAATTTCTTAAAAAATCGTAATTGCTAAAATTATTTTAATAATTAGATAATTGGTTGATAAATTAAATTTAAATTAATTTCCAAAAAACATTAAACAATTTTTTTCATATTGTTTTAATCAATGAAGTTAGTATAATGACAGTGGAATGACACTGCTACAACTGAAATATGATAATGTGTTAATCATACAATGAGATAGATCGTTAAGAGTGAATTTATTGAAAAATTGAAATTGAATTAAGTAGAAGGAATTGAAATGATCATTTCATATTAATAAAAAAATTTTTTTTTTGCTTGATCACTTCCTAATTAAACATTCAATACTTCTTTTTTTTGAAATCGAATATTTTAGAAAAGAATAAATTTAAAATTTTGTGAAATCATCTGAAAATAATATGAACAAAAGGCAGGTAAGACAAATCTGGAATTCAAAATATTTCTTATCTTTTAAATTACATTAAAAGTTTTCAAAAACAATTTTAATCATATATTATCAATGTTAATTGCAGACGTATGTTCCCGACAATGAAGTTAAGTATTGCCGGTTGTGAACCAGATGTACTTTATTACGTATTTCTGGATGTAGTTCCAGTGGACAATCGACGTTATCGGTATATTTATAACAAGTCATCCTGGTTAACAGCCGGTAAAGCTGAACCTACACCTCGTAATCGATTGTATATGCATCCTGATTCTCCATTCACCGGTGAACAGGTTTCTAAATTTTTCCCCGCCACATATTAATTAACATGTAGAGCATGAAGCTAACCAGATTGAATTGCAATTAAAATTAAACGTTAAATTACAGTTTAAAAAAAAGACTAAATCGAAGTATAATATTACTGTTACAGCTCTGCAATCAAGTTATATCATTTGAAAAAGCCAAACTGACCAATAATGAAGTTGACAAAACCGGACATGTTAGTTATTTTATTTGATTTAAATAAAATTGTTTCAAATGATTGAATATATTTCATGATGCACACTTATATCGAACAATTTTTAGTTAATTTTAAATTCAATGCACAAGTATCAGCCACGTATACATGTGGTGAGACGGCCGCGTGAAAGGCCTATTGAACAGGTAATCATATTTCTCATAAAATGTAATAAACTGTTCCTAAGATATACTTTTCAAATGATAAATCCAATTAATTTAAGGAACATTCAAGTTTATTGCAAATTAATTATTTTCTTCCAATTTGCCGGGATAAAAATTTACAACCTATCAATTATTCACATTGAAACTGTCTATTGTGTTTAAAAAAAATCCCTAACGGAGACTTTTAGCTTTTAAAAAAAATTCAAAAAAAGTTTGGATTAGAAAAAAGTGAAGCTGACAATGAGCTATATATTCAAAAATAAAATTGTATTAAAAGTTCAATAATAAAATTAGAAAACAAATTTTTTTGGTATTTTTCTCTTTTTTTTTTGTTTTTCTTTCTTCTGCATTCTTTTTTAGGCATTAACAATCGATTTGCATAACGAACATTACAAAACGTTTCAATTTAAAGAAACCCAATTTATGGCTGTAACAGCATATCAAAATCAATTAATTACAAAATTGAAAATTGAAAAGAATCCATTTGCAAAAGGTTTTCGTGATCCAAATGGACGCTCACCTGAATATGATTTGTACGTTTAGTGATGAACTTTTATCAAAATGCTCAAATTTATTCCTTCACTTTTTTTTCTCATTATTGTAAAAGTTTTTATTCAAAAAAAAAAATTATATTGCTCCAAATACAATAACAATGTGGGAA